ATTTATCTGAGAGAGAGAGAATGAGAGATAGAGAGCACAAGAGGGAAGAGGGTCAGAGGGAGAAGCAGACTCCCTGCTGAGCAGGGAGCCCGATGCAGGACTTGATCCCGGGACTCCAGGATCATAACCTGAGCCGAAGGCAGTCACTTAACCAACTGAGCCACCCAGGCGCCCAAGGCTTATTTTGAGACTTAAATAAAACATTCAAGTGTCCAGCAAACTATAAAGCACTATACAATTTTACACCTTTACCACTGCAGTTGACAACCATGTGATGAGTGAGTTATTTCTCATTAAACATTAAATAGATGATACATTAATACATTAAACTAGTAATAGTCCACACATTTTATGAAGCACCTTTGTAAGCTATGCTTCCAAGAATATCTTCTTTAAAAGAGGAAAAAGTAGGCCAACCTGAAAGCCAAATTAGTAAGACCGAAGACATTTAAAATTCATAAAATGCTCTTATTCATTTTTATTTTTCATAAATATAAAATGATTACTATGAAATTAACTTATATTGGGTAACTTCTGACAGCGTATCTCTTAGTGCAATCTGTGTGGTACATTTTTCCTTACCACCCAGAGTAAAATCCTGCTCTATAAAGTCAGGGAAGTTCCCTTCGTCACAACTTGCTTCTGAAGAATGGTGAAGTTGCCAGATTTTCCCACTCGCATTCTGCCCCCTATATCTATCTATCCAAGTAGAAGCCTGAAGCACCACAAATTCCTGGTGGCAGAAATGTAGCCTTTCCCTGAGGGAGGTTCCCCACTTCTCCACACAAAAACCACTTACGAAAGAATACAGAAGCAATGAGCCTCGACTATGTCACATTTACAAGAGACAGATTTGTTTCTGGGTGGTGGGAGGTTGGGGGTAGGGATCAAGACTTCCCAATTACCTTGGCCAGAAATGAGAAAGCATGGTTTTTGTTGATCAAAACAGCCCTTCAATCACCAAAATTTCATTTTACTAGAAAACAAATTAGAAAAATTTTTCTAAAGAACTTTCACCTAAATGCAAGTTAGCAACCCAGCCCACAGATCTGGTATCAATCCTGTTTTCTCTCCTCATTTCTCATCTGGCATACTGAACAAAAAGCTACATTCCTTTCTAGTTTCTTAACTTGCCAACTGCTGCAAGTGGCACAGCATGGCACACAGCTGCCTGTAATAATGGACTGTGCCCAACGAAGACAGGATGGGTAGCTTTATGTTATTATCCCTTTAAAAAGTCCAATGTATATAGATTATTTAGCATTTTTATTTGTTTATTTTTTTCTAACAGGAGATTTGCTTTTCATTTCCTATGGTTCTGATACTCTTCCCACTCAAATACTTTCCTAGTTTTGTCTTTTGCTCTTTTCCACAGAGTGACCAGAATATATTTCTGGGAATCTTTAATTCATTTCTAGAACACATTTTTTCCCCACAGTCATTTGCTTTCTTTTTATGTTACGAAATGGTCTCTTCTCTTTGTTACCAAAGTTTTACCTCTTTTCCCTGACTCCCATTTCAAATATAGGAGGAGGAAGTACATAAATAAAACAAAGAGGAAAACTGAACAAGCTAAAGAAAAGCACTAAAAGATAGACTATATTCTACAATATTCTCGACTCATTCAGAAGTTGGAAAATGAACCAAAAATCTACCACCAAAGGGCTAAAATGCCTTTCTCAGTAATGTCTAACACATTCCACCAAGCCAGTTGGGTAAAGAGTCACTCAGTAAAGACATTTTTTCTTAAGTCTTGAAAACTAATAACAAATACTACAAATTATACTATATTATTTTCATCTTTCATTTGCTCTTTCCGTGAATAGACAGTTCATGTCTTTGTATGGTTTAAATTTATACTCCATATCTTTACCTGTTCTTTCTTTATTTGCAACTATTTTGCCTTTTCTAAATCTTTCCCACCCTCAAGACTCAGATTATATATTAGCTCCTTCTAGATGTCTCCCGGACACCCAAGCTGGGCTGGAACTCTGGCAGGACTTACTTACTCCATTATATTCACATGATCTATTTTTTACATCTGTTCTGCCACCATCACATAGGGCTTCATCTCAGTCATCTTTCTAGTCCCAGACCCAGCACTGGCAAAGTAGAGAACACCTGTTTGTCGGATGCCAGCTGAAATGTCTTCCTGGACGGGGAAGAGGTGGGCAAATAACAAGTAGTAGTCTTTCTCTTGCACCTGCAGTATCACATAGGCTGTCTTCTGCCTGAAATGGAATCTCTTCAACCCCACTCCCAGGAACCAGCTAGGCTCCTGTCATTCTTTAAGCCTCTGTTTTATTGTCACTTTCTCTGGAACCTTCCCCAAGCTACTAAACTGGGGTTGGGAGCTCCTCCTTTGGCCTCCCTTTTCCAGCTAAGCTTTGGTATCCTAAAACTCCATTTCAACGGACTCTACTTGTCCACGTTCCCCAATTAACTATGTTGAGTAAAAGCAGTAAGAAAGTTAGCATTGTCTCTACTAAATCCCTAAAACATTGTCTGGCACTAGGATGGCAGATTAATATATATATCTATCTCCACAGATGATTTAAACAAAAATGGATAAATATAATCTCACTTTCATATTAAATTTTGTTGGAATAAAAATTACACTAATATTCCATTCTCATTTTCCAGTATTCTGAATGATACAAGAAGAAGAGGAGGCAAAAAAGATCTGATTTCTCACTGAATTTATTTTAGTCATAATCTTTTGGAAATTCCACCATCTGGTAAAAATCCTCCAATTATTTCATCAAATAAATAAGAACAGAAGGTTTTCCCTGGAAGAATGGATTTTAGTTAAGTCAAAGTCACCAATTATTAGACTTTTCTAAATTTCAACCATGGCACTATATTAAAAACTTCTTGTTTATAGTTTTACTTTTTAATAATTGATTTTTTTCTATCAACTTTTTAAAATTTTCTGGAGCTTTGGAAATTTCTGACTGTATACACCTTCTTGAAAAATCTTTTGCCATGAACTTGCCCTGGCTTGGTTCTCCACTTAACTTTTAACAAATCCTACTGTGTGCTCTACCAGCTCTTTTCTTCCTGAGACATTTACTTTAACCTTTGCTTCATATCTTCACCCCACTGTCTCAGTGATTCTGTCTCTTTCCATAAATGCATTGCTGTTGTGTTAATGATTCTCAAATTTCTATCCATAATCCTAGTAATTTCTTTAAACCCACATCTGTAAGTAGGTATTTCACTGATACCTCATGTAAAACATACCCAAAATTGAACTCAGTCATTTCCTCCTGACTTTTCATCCTCTAGGATGAATGGCAGTATCATTCTCTTTTGTCATCCAAACTCAACTCTCAGAGTCATCTACGACATTTTTCCTCTGCCTTGATCCCTCATTAAAGTGGTTACCAATTCCTACTACACTACTGCTCTCATCTGCCTCTGCATCCTATTTCCCTCATCACCATCTGATTTCAGAATCTTGTTATTTACCTAGAATCAACCAAATACGCAATGACATCCCAACACTTTTCTCTATGTTGCTCCAATATCCTTCCAACATATGCCTTCAAGAGCCATCTTCCCTAAGAACTGCCCTAATTATGTCACCAGATTGCTGATAAATGTGAAGGTCCCAACAATCCATAAAATATGTATAAACGTCTCATAGTTTATTCTGGACCTTCAAATCTTTCATAGCAAGTTTCATTTAAACATGATCATGTGGGATACAAGAAATGAGAAAGCGAGCAGATAACACAATCTCCAGCATGCAGCAGATACCCAATAAATATTTCCTAAAATGGAAAAAAAGGAAACTTAGGTATTATATAAATGATACATGCCACTCTCCTGCATAAACACATTTACTGAATTTCCACCGTCTACTGGATATAGTTCCAAGTTCTGAGTGCAACTTGGCTCTTGTATACCTCTCTTACTTCTCTTGTTCAGGCCTTACAAGATAACTCACTTCCTTTACTAATGAGCCCTTGCATATAATCTTTTCACTCTGAATTTTTGTATGTGTCCTACTTGTCCTTTAAGAATAAATGAGAAACCTCCTTGACCCATTTCATTATCAGTTAGCTGCTCTTAAAATAGAGTCTAACTCCATCATTAGCCTGTATTATATCTGTTTCTCTGTATCTCCCACTCTATGGTAGCTCTTTGGGGACAGAGTCAACATCTTCTTTTGTTCTCCATGGTCAGCCAAAATACTCATACTTAGCATACTGCAGTGAAAATATTTTTTTCTTTTACTGGCTAAAACCACCTAGCTATACTGATTATAAAATGTATTGGCTATAATCAACTAACTATATACCACCAGTAAACTACTTAATTGACTGGATTTATTTTTCACTTCAGGCCCACTGGCCTCTACACTGTGCTCCATCCAAAACAGAAAATTTGCATTTTCCAACTTGTTTTTTCTAACATCATCCTGAACTTTAACTTTTGAAATGTCTCCTTTCAGCATACATATACAACAACAGTGTCAAGTACCATTTTTGCTGATCTTATTTCCCCAAGTTTCCTTTGGCTTCCTAACACTTTGCAAGAATTCCTCTCCATTTATAATAAGACTGGCAAAGTATTAGAGTTATTCAACTAGTCACCTTATTCTGTATACTATGACATAAACTCCTTTAGAGTAAGGATCGCATTCTATTTGTCTATTTCTACTAAGTTACATCATTCCTGGGACATAAAAAACCCTCAATGTTAAATCAATGAGAATCTGTGTTATAATGAACATGACAACTGGGTGTAATAAGGCTTAAATAAAACTGAGAGCCTATGCAGAAGAAGCTTTTACTCCACATACAGCAATAGAATCTTTTATAACTTCTGTAATACTGAGGTTGAATTCTGTTTCCTTGCTTACTTGCATTTGCATCCTTCAGCCCTAACCCTTCAATTGACTTACTTTATGTTCTCATTTGCGGGTACTTCAGGAAGTTGCACAGTAATCATGCCATCCAGGTTGGTCTTCCCAATGAAGGCAGGCTTGGTACGTAGTACGTCTGGTGCAGTCTTTGCTGTTACCCTGTGTTGCAGCCCACCAGCACTGTTCCCACGATTGGTCAGCACAAATGAATATGACTTCTCAGGCTTCAAGTTGACAATTAACTTCTGGGTAGCCCGGCCATCGACTTCTTCTACCATTTTCCCATCATCATAAAGAATCTAGAAGATACAACCAATCGAAGAGATTTGGTATCAGAGAGGCAATGTATGCTTTCTAAACTAATGCGCACTTGGTTATAGAATATGCATGTCAAATCAATTCTAATTTTAGGCCATTCCTAAGTCCTTAAGTGTTCATAAATTCTAGAGATTGAATGAATTCTTCTTTTGTTCTTAGTGCATAATTATATAATGTTTCTAAGTCTATAAAAATACAGAAAGAAATGTACAATATTTTCAATATTTGATCTGTTGCTTGCATACAATCTCAATGGAAATTGTGCAGAAATGCCCTAGGTTTTCAATGTATTATCCACATCACCTTTTTTTCTAAATGTTTCTATTCCTGTTCCTAAGTATACTCTTGCCTTCAAAATGTTTCTCTATTCTTTATTTCATAGACTTGCACTTCTTGGTAACATCTCTCAATATTTCTCAATTGCAAATTAATGTTTAAAACATACAAAGAATTCAGGCCAATAAACAAATTTTTTAAATCCCAGGATACTGCATTTTCCAGATGTAGAAACCATGTGAATTTCATTTTCTGGTGGAAAAACACAAGCACTAGCTTAGATGTAAAAAGTCTTGGAACTACAAGGTGACTGACAATACCACCCCTAGGTTTCAGCTCCCACCTCATCTTTCAAGTGAAAACCAAAAAGAAGAAAAGCAAGTGTGTGTGGCTGAAACAAAGTGGTGTGTATGCTTTCTGAATAACTTACTCAGGTAAACTGAATGCCCCCCCCGCCCCGTTTTACCCATGGTATCTTAAAAATTAGAAAACAACTTACTTTGAAAGGCATGGCAGAATTATAATTTTCTGGAATTTCCCAAGACAACAGCACTGAAGTCTTCATTACTGCTTTGACATGAAAATTTTTTGCAAACACTGCTGGAAAAGGAAAAACAGTGTATTTACACTACTCCTAAAAACGTATGACCTGTCCTTTTCCACCATGGACCATCGGGCTTAAGCTAGAAGCCATCTACTTTGGTCAGAGAGAGAGAAGTGTGATTTGCCTACCTGTTTAGACCATTCATGTTACTACCTCATTCTCATAAAGATCTCTCTTTTCTCTTCAATTCAGTCACCTATATTGTATTTTCCTTACCTGAGAACATTGGGTTGCTGTCAGCCAGACTTGCTTGGCATTCTATAACCAAAATCTAAGGCATCCAAAACATATTAAGTTTTACATACTTTACCTTTTGGCTTTTGCTGAACCTATTAATATGAATGGTCCGATCAGTTATTTATAGCTTCAAAATACTGATTTCCAAAGACCGACATTCCTTTAAAGGAGGAAGGCCATAAGCAGACAAATCCTACCTTGATCCACAGGCAGTGTCCTGAACTGGACACTGGGACTATATGGCCCGGGCCCTTTGCTCGTGTGAGCACGTACTTTTACATCATATGTGGTATCTGGTTTTAAGCCACTGAGTGTCATAGTGGTATCAGCTGGAACAATAAGCTGCTCCATTGGAAGAAGAGGGATGTTGATATCCCTATACAGAAGAGTATACTTGGTGATGATGCCATTTCTCTCTGCCAGGACAGGTGGCTGCCAGGATAACTGGACAGAGGTTGAAGTGGTGCCTTCTGAGTGGAGGTTTTGAGGGAATCCAGTTGGGACTTCTTCTGGAACAGAAATCTCTTTCATTATCTCTTCCCCAAAGCCCACTTTGTTTCTGGCTGAGAGCCTGAAGATATATGATGCTCCTTTATGGATGTCCGTAGCTGTAAAATGATCTTCTTTCTCAGAGAACTCAAGAGTAGTGAGTGGTTCCGTATCTTTCCGGCCAAATTTTAGACGATAACCCTGAAGAGGTCCGAATGTGTCCACAGGGGGGTGCCATTGAACGAGAGCAGTATTCATTTGAGTGTGGTTAATCACAAGACGGGGTTTCCCTGGAACTGGAGTACATGGGAAGGAGTGGTAAGACCAACCTAGACAGACATTCATTCACATTTTAATGACTGCTGAGTGGGAACACCACTTCACAGGAATTCCCATTACATTATTTATTTTAAAAAAGACTTGGTCTATATACCTTTGTGGAAATATGCTTCTTCTCATACTTAACTATTAAGGTAGGCTGAGAAACCAGAATTTGATAACAGACACAAATAGGCTTACAAAATAATTTAAGGGAATTAAAAAAAAATCTTGTATCAAACCTTCACACATATAAAGGTTCATGCCACAGAGAAATGAATCCAAGTAAAGATTAGCTAATTAGCTACAGCTAATAAGAATAATAATTATAACATATTTAATTATTGGGTATATGCAATGTACCAGGCACTGTGCTAAGAGCGTTAGATGTAGTATCTCATTTGATTTACATTTTTCACTCTTGACTACACACTCTGATTAGTTATTATCTTCATTTTCTATAATAAGAAAATGACACCCAGGGAGATAGAAAACTGCATAGTCAGAGGTATAATAAGTGAGAAAGCTGTGAGACAATTTGAATCCATAGCCCAAACACTTAACTATACTCTTATGTTGCTTGTAAGGTTTTTTTTTTTTCTTAAGTAGTGCAAAAAAAAAAAATGTTGTTTTAAGTTATTATGGTTATAATTGTACTTTTTGTCTATACTTTTTACCTGGGGATAAACCATGACTAAGGAATGATTTTGACTAGTTGGTTGGCAGACAATAAAACGAGCTTTTCTCTGAAAGAGATTACAAATCTGGATTCTCACACCTCCAACCTAGGCCCAGTATGAAGACAATGTATGACAGACATCTAAAATATAAGCATTGTCTTCCTCAATACCCAAATCACCATTGATTAAGAAAGTTCTGAAATGGAAACACCAAAATAATCCTCTATGTGAATAACATCCACAACTCTAAATAATTTTTTGAATATTCACTAAAAAGTGATGAGCCAGTGTTCGTGCTGAGGAAATCGACAATGCCATTTCTTTCTCTGGGATTCACACCCCTTGGCTATAAATTCTCTCCTCCTTATTATAGCACCCCTATCTTAAGGGCAATAGGAGCTTGATGCTTTATGTAATATATCTCAGACTAATTAAGACACAATTATAAATATAGGTGTAGGAAATATATTTTCTTCATTTTGGGATTTAATTTCAGGGGTTTACACTTAGTTGTCTACATTTCAATAGAGGCTTGTTCCATAGCCAGTCAGCATGCCCCCACTGAACATATATCTCCTAAGAAGGGCATTAAATTAGATTGATACAATGCTATTCTTAAATTTAAAAGGAAAAAAAAAGAAGGAAAAAAAGGGGAAAAAAAGCCCAGAAGACTTTGCCTTAAAGGAGTTTTGCCATCTGTAATCCTGCTGCTTGAGGCAGTTCCAGGTGGCAGGATGTAAGTGAAGCAAATCTTATGACATTTAGACAAATTTGGCAGTGAGCATGGTACCCAGGAGGGTACTCAACATCACAGCTGTTCTTTGCTTTATGCCTTTACATAGAGGTGTGTTCCTAAAAAGTTGTGTGAGAAGCGATTCGGGAGAAGTAAATCAAATCATAGTTTAAATGTTCCGTGGGAGATTGTGATATAAAGGGATTGGAGGAGAATCCTTTTGTAATTATATCTTAATTTATTGGTTTTACAATGTCAGGTCTTCCTTCATGCTGGCTTTTCCTAATGTGAGACAATCAAAGTAACTCTAAAGAACATTAAGAAACTTTGTTCTTCAGAGGAGCAATCTGATATTTTGTAGCCATGTTGCTTTTCTTCTCTTTTCTGTTCCCCATCTTTTATGTGATTTGGCCTCTTCAGAATCCCCACAGCAAGGAGTGAGCAGGAGAAAAATGGCAAAATAAAACAAAACAAAACAAAACCCAGAACTGTAAGTCATCAACTCAGTTCAAGATGGCAGCTCTTCTAAAAGGGTTTGCTGCTGAGAGAGGTTGAAGCTAATGAGTGACATCCTGCCCATATGATCATCCCTCTGGACATTCAGGGGACTTGCTCTTTCACATCATTCATGTCTCAGCTCAAATAACTTTTTTCTAAAAGACCCTCTCTGATCACTCTTTCCAAACAGTCCCTAGGAGCTATCCTATCCTTAATGTCTACACATCTTTATTTTTCAACTTCTCACTTACTGATGCTTTATTATATACTCATTTGTCTACTTGTTAATTATCTATTTCTACTCAGAAAATAAGTTTCAGAAGGGAAGAATATTTCTGTTTTGTTAATTGTTGTATTCCCAGTACTGGGAGTAGTGCCTGACATGTAGTAGGTGCTCACGTACCTGTTGAATGACTGACTGAATAATTTGGGCAAAGTATGTCTTGATGTTTTTCTTCTGAACTGTATATCAAAAAACACAAAAGCTGACCACAGTCCACTTTTTCTTTCTGATAGAATTCACCATACCATTGGAAAATTCGTATTATTGTCACCTGGAACATGTTCAAGGCACGTATATGCACAAATATGGTTACCTGCCCCAGTGGTGGACACCAGTTTGGGCTTGCTGCGAGCACCATCTCCTTTGGTGGTGTAGGCTGTGACCGTGAGGGAGTAGGAAGTTTCAGGCTGTAGCCCAGAAATAATCATGTCCTAAAATGACACAATAAAATGACACTGATTCAAAACACCACAAACACCCTGGGGGAAATTCAAAGCATCCATCCACAATCTATGCATGCTTAAATACTTCCTGTAGCCATGCCAAGCCCTGGAAGTTTCATGCCTTGTTGTTCATGCCATGAATGATGTGTTTTCATGCTGACATTAAAGTGGGGTCTTCAGCCATCGTAAGAGGTAATCCTAAGAAGTAGTAGTTAAAAACATGAAACCGGAGGCCAGAACTCCTGAATTCTTGAATTTAAACCTGCATCTTCTTATTTCCTAGTTTGGTGATCCAGGGCAGGTGAGTTAACCCCCCTCAGTACCTCAGTTTCCCATGTGAAAGTTGGAATAATAGAAGGATTAAATGAGTTATATCAGATAAACACTTACAACTATGCCTGGCTCATAGTGAGCAAACCATAAACCTGCAGTTATATTATGCCAGGACCTCTCAATATGCATCCTCTATAGCCTGGCCAACAGACCAGTGATGGGGCTGATGCCAATGCAGTCTGTTTTATCACCATGCTAGTATTTTGCCAAATGGCTGGTCTGTTGAACCTAGATATCTTGACAGCCAGAGAAGTTTCTTAGGACTAGAGTAACATATTATTGGTTAATTATATAAACTATGAACTAAAATCATTACACACTAAGGAGAATTTTCTGGTGATTTGGAGTAGGTCATAAAACCAAAGAACAATAATTTTTTTTTTTACCACATCATCATGGAGTTGTGCTCAATTAATCCTATTTAGAAAATGTTAAATGTCACAAACTATTTATCAAAACTCTAGATTTCTCTTAATTAGGGCCCCCAAACTGTGATGGTTACAAAACTTAGATCTGTTCTTCCAAACTGGAGATTATAGGATTCTTTACATAGAGTAGTTATTAACTTCTGTTATTTTCTTTAGAGCTGCTACACACAGGCCCACATCCTCCCACACAAACACATAGCTATAAAGATACCTTTCAGATATTTGGCACAGCTATGTTTTCAAATTGAATATGGTTAGATTTAAGAAATAATATAATGTCATTGTCTTCCACATTTGAAGACAAAGCAAGTGAGAGTTCATGGAATGGACTGGATTGTGTGGAGGACAGAAGGATTTTTCTGTGCAAGGCTGTAAGGGGCACCACTGAACTCAGTTGTTGAATCTGATCCCAAATATGACAGCTTTTGACAGTGTGCTTTTCTCAAAATAGTAGGAATATCATTGGAGTGGAAATTTAAGAATTTCAGATATCCTGAACAGCCATTGGAAATATTATTCTGCCAGATGAATGGGCTAAATTTGGAAAGGGATTTCATTTTCTGGACCTTGGAATGGTTTCACTAATATTACAGAGGCTATAAAAACCATCCGAATCACCCAAGAGTAGCATTCTAAATTATAGCAGATATACTGGGTATTCCAGAAATTATGATGGGAAAATGATAACATTATTGTTTCCAAGGTCCCTCTCACATGCTACTGGATTTTTGCTGAAAGTAGGCAAGGTTGGGGGGCGGGGAAGCAGGGCTTGGTTCTATCACCAAATCGTGTGGCAAGAAATTTATATACTCTGAGCCTTATATAAGTCTTTTTCATTTATCAAATTGGGATTAACCACACATGCCCTTCCTCTTGCATAGGCTGCTCCAGGATAACACATGTAATGTAATTTGAAATTGGTCAAACCCTCTGCAGTGGTATAATCGCAGCTGGACACACCTCTATCTGCCTGGATCACATCATCTCTTGTGTTATATTTTCTTTCTTTAAACTGTGGCCATACTTCCTGGTGGTTTCGGTATCCTCTGTGAGGTAATGAGGTAGTGTGGTATCATGTCTACCATTCCTCAATCTCATTGCCTTCTCCTAGCATATCTCCATTCAACTTCCTGCCTGTTAAAAATTGGCATTCTCGGATGTTCTGAAACAGTTTCTGGCCTGCTGTGTTTCTCTCTAGTCCTAAAAAAAAAAACCACATTTCCAAACCTTAAAGAATTTTTTTCTGTCTGAAACTCATTTCTAGTCCTGATTTCCCATCAGGGCTCCAGTTGCATGTACATTGAAAATATGTGCTGGACATTTTCCTTTGACTATCAATTGTTCCCTCAAGTTCAGCTTGACTAAAGCTCCAGTGTCATTTCCAGGAGTAAATTCCCCTCCTCGCTTCTATACTGTAATGAATGGTATAGCATATTCCAAACTTATGAGTGATCTTGATCTCTTTTTCTTCCTCAAATTCTTAGCGAGTTTTTGCCAGTTTTTCCTTTACCCAAAACTGTCCCTTTTTCATTTTTGCTGCCTCAACTTCATTGAATTTTTATTATTTTATGACGTTAGCAAAAGAATTGTTTTTATTTGTTTCCCTGTTTACTATCGTCTTTCTCTCTAATCTATCCACTATGTCATTGGCTTTAAGCTGCAGGTAATGACCCATTTAAGTAGGTCATGAAATCAATTTACTTAGTCACGACCAGCATTTTAAAAAAGAAATAGGATATACTTTCATACAAAATATTAAATTTTATATGTGTGTAAGTAAGGTATTATTTTGTAAGACCTTTATTTTAAACATACGAATGCATTGGTCGTGACATATAATGCATTTCTTACTATGGATTACAGTAAAAGAAGTTTATAAAACAGTGTCAGTTCCATTAAAACTGATACCTTGCCCATCATATTTACCAATATTCTCAGTAAAAGCCCTGCATTTTAGCAAAAAGAAAAATATTTACTAAATGAAAGAATACTCTTACCAGCCTTTATCTTATTTCTATTTTTAATAATTTTCTATATCTCTCCAGTACTGAAGAGTTAAAAGGCAGTTCTTTAGTTTGACACTTTAGGTTTTCCCAACATTATATTAAATTCATGTCTTAGTCATACTTAGCACTAATTTACTAACCTGAACCCCTTCATTCATGTCGAATTGGCAAGCTCATGTCACTTGACTATATCATATTCTTGACCTGCCTCAATGATTATGTCCCACATACTCATCTTTAAAAAAACATTCCTACCTCCAACTTTCCAACATATACACACACACACACACACACACACTTTTCCACTTCTTCAACACTTACTTATTTTTTAAGTTCTCAACAAGGTTTCAAGACCTCTTCTACCTTCTTGGTCCATGGCCTCTGAACTCACAGTTCTTACTGACAATGCCACCCATTTATTAATTAATTACACATTGCTTGAGGTCATAGCTTTTGTTGTATTTTATGGAACTTTTCCGAATTTTACATCTTCCTAGCCACCTATTGTAAGTGCTTTGAAGGCAGGTGTCGCATCCTATATCCCCCAAGGAAACCTTTTTTAGTAATAAGGTCTCAATAAATAACATAATCCAGCCATTGAAATATTTTTAAAAATTCTTCCCTCAGTGAGATATTTTCTGCCTCTTGGCATGACTCATTCAATTTATCTCAAATTTCTATGGTTACAACAGAATTGCCATTTCTTGATATAATTAGTACCGGAACTGCATGGTGTTATCCACTGAAGATGTAACCCTGGGGTAGGATTTATGAGTGGCCTATATCACACAGCTTGATATCTCTTGTCTGTGATGCCTCCACTTAAAGCATTCCTCCTTTAACTGTGTCACAAGGCAAAGTTAGTAGCAGCCATCAGAACAACATGAGCTCATGATATTTCTTATGCAATCAGTAACACCATGCCAATTTCACAAAACAAAAACCTAAATTAAAAGTATATCATATAGTGAAGATAATTTAAAAATAATTTGTTAGTTCATGCATCCAAGCAAACTGTGATGACATATCACAAATAAGTGAAAGAGGGGTAACAGAAAAAACAAGCATTTATAATCTCTTTTTGACAAAGCAGCCCAAAATTACTCACATGTTCAGTAGTATCATCAAATTCCCACTGATTGAGATTAAGAAGGTTGGGGAAGAGGAAAACAAAATAAAAAGAAATGAAGAGAAATCTGTAGCCTTATAATGGCAATGTTGCCTTCCTTAGATTAAACAAACAAACAAACAAAAAAACAGAACAAAAAAATAAGCAAGTGTGTACAATAAAATTCCAAAGAGTAGGTGTGTTATGCTTCTATCCTCACCCCGAACTGAGAGGTCAAAAGTAAATATGCTTTGTATTGTTATAATTAAAATCAGCTAATGCAATTTTTAATGTGTGGTTCATTGGAATGAATCAATAAGGCATGACGTACAGCTAGTGTTTCTAATCATACATTACTTTATGACATTTATTTTGGCTTTTTCTCTATGTTATGCAATTAATTTATGTCACTAATTAGATTAACACCTTTCATAAAATATTGGAATCTTATAGCCCCAGGGAAGTCTTGCAAAATGCAGTGGAATTTCAATGAATATTAAGAGAACACACGAGGTGGGCAAAAGAACAACAATCAAAAACATACACATAATGAGGGGGAGACGAACCAGGAGAGACGATGGACTCTGAGAAACAAACTGAGGGTTCTAGAGGGGAGGGGGGTGGGGGATGGGTTAGCCTGGTGATGGGTATTAAAGAGGGCACGTTCTGTGTGGAGCACTGGGTGTTATACGCAAACCATGAATCATGGAACACTACATTAAAAACTAATGATGTAATGTATGGTGATTAACATAATAAAATAAAATAAAATAAAATAAACATACACATAAGGAAAATCGGCAAATTAATAAAGAAAAGCCAAAGTAGAAGAGAGGGGGAAAATTGTGTTGACATTTAAGGCATTTTGAATTATGTAATTCCATTAACCACCATCCTCCACAAAACACTGACAGAACTACAAGTTTATAATGTAAAATTATCTAGGACCTGACGGAGTACATCAAAACATCATGGCCCCATATCATTTTCTTTTTCATAATTTCAGACTTACAAAAGAAAACATAGGCTTTAATGGTTTTATTAATTTCATATTGTGAGTACAGTTTCACAGACAGTACAGAATATTTAGAAAAAGCAATGCCCCTTTTCCAGAGTCTAAAGGACTATGAATCTAAAGACATAAGTTTACAGAAGTAGACTTTAAAACCATGGAACTGGATTTGGAGCTGACTAAGTGAACAACTCACCCAGATCCCTTTAGTTAAAGTGTTTCAAAACCAAAGGAAAAATAGCATTTTTGTGAGTTGATTATATTAAAACATTAGGGTCAATGTTTTCCTTATAGCCACAGGGACGTGGATTGCTCTTTTATTTGCACAGAGACAAGAATGCAAAATCTGGCAACCTGACATAATAGTTCTCACTTGGCTCATAGTCCTCCTCACTTTGACACAAGGGAAGGAACATTTTACTGAAATAAATTTCAGATTTTCCAAACCCCCTCCTTTTCCATGCCCAGCTACCGATTTGCTAGGTAAGCATAGTACTTCCCTATTCATAACATCCCATCACTACTGGGCCCAGTATAGTGAAGCTATCCACAGGTTATATGTAATCCCCAGTAGAAGCTATTAATTGAAATCTTCCTCTTCTTTTCAGGTAACTACGTAGAATACAGGTGAATTTATTTTGGTATTATCTTTGAAACCCTTTACACACACACAAAAAACTGAAACATGTAATGCTCTGCTTTAAACAACGGATTACAAAGCCAAGTGACTGCATGGTTGAAAATTATCACCCGAGGATCAATAGAATTTCTCACACACTCAACTGCTCTTCATACTTTTCTTAATGTGCCTTAACACAGGGGATCCCATTTACTTCCTGGAAAACTCTAACTTTTCATTGTCATTACCTTCATTTTTCTGGGAAATGAAATAATTACTTCTGAATACATGGTTTGATAAATAAGTACTAAATAAAATACTATCTGGGTAACTTTCCTCACATAAGAATGTCTATTCTTCAATAGAATAAGTCATATATTTAGAAGTTAGATCAATTTAATTTCAAGTAGTTCTAGCACAACTGCTTAGAATTCTTGTTACTTTGATTAAAATCAATTCAATTTTTTTGAAGTCAGAAAGGCAAACTCAGATATAAATGTAGAGAGTTGAGTACCTGTATTTTAAGGAAACAATTACATGTTTTTAATTAGGCTTGAGTGTCATTTCATTACAACTCACTTCCTCACATGCTGTCAACTCTGACTGAGAAGGTAAATACACATCATGTGTTTTAAAAACTAGAATTTTGTACAGGATTTTTTAAATGTCAAAAAAATAAAAAAATGGGGGTCCATTTCAAGGTATAGACTAAAATAAATATAATAAATAAATAAAAACATAGATATGTAATTTCAGAGGCTTACCTGTGCATCAGCCAGCATGACATCCTTCAGCATGGGCTGGCCCTTGGGCTCACCATTTTCCATCCTCACATAATGCACCTGGTATCCTCTTATCTGGCCATGCTGCTTATTGGGCACAGGTGAGCGCCATGAGACTTTAACAGATGTTGAGTTGACAGCCTCTACCTCGACTTTTCGAGGAGGACCACTAGGAACTGGAACAACATCATTGGATAAAAGAAAATTATAGGCACTTGTCCCACCCAGTCAGAGTATTTTCTTTACTTAGGTTTAAAAAAAAAAATGGGCAGACCCACTATGTTTCCTTTGTGGAGTACAAACATTTTCAAGCAATGAAAATGCTCAACCAATCTGCTCTACCTTTTAAGAAAAGATCAAAAAACATGACCAATGCCAAAAAAAAAAAAAATGGAAGAAAAAAAGAGTATCAGAGAAATAGAAAAACATGTAAAAAATGTACAAAAGCCAAGGAAGATGCTTTGAGGCTCAAAGCATTAAAGCACAAAGAGGAGTAGCATTGAAATAATAATAAAAACTGTTTGTTGATTGTTGTGTGTTTTTTTAAAGATTTCTTTTTAGCAGAATAAAAAGATTCTTGATTATATCAGTTTTCTTCTTTTTTTCTCATATCAAAGGTTTTCCAAACAACAGATGCCAAAAATTGAATGTCGAGCATCAGTGTCTCTGAAATATGCAAGACAAAAAGGCAACAAGAAGATAAGAAGGCAGATTTGAAAAGTTAACTTCAAAATGTAAAAGAAGTGTCTAAAAAAGGCCAAGAAAAACGCAGAAGACTTTAGACGGAAGTACAGAGAACGGCCTGGATTACAAGGTCATAGGAGCAAACTGTTCTTTTAAAGGGAAGCAAATTATTGTGTTGAGATTGAAAAAAAAAAATGCCCAGGCTGCAGCAAAGATAGGTCTTTGGCAAAAATTACTGAAGTTACAGCGATGCTGGGTAAAAAAAAAAAAAAAAAAAAATGAGCAGAGAAAAACTGATTACTGTTAGCCTATCAAAAGACAGCAGACCAAGATTGTGTCAGAAGGGTGCAAACTGACGTAGCAGAGGCAACATACCATCTTCATCAGTTCGAATCAACACGGAGAAGCTCTCGGGGCCAGGGCCGACGTCTGTGTGGGCTGTCACAGTGATGCGGTACTCAGTCCATTTTTCCAGCTGTTCCAAAAGGTATTTAGTAGTGTCCGAAGGAATGCCCAAAATTTCATGAGGTTTATCATCTTCCCCATCCACTGAGGTGTACTTGATGGAGTATTCAGTAATAATGCCATTCTGTTTTTCCACTGGCGGAGGTTGCCAACTTACCAAAATACTAGTGGAACTTGGGCTGGTGCAACTAATGTCTTGAGGAGGAGCTGACGGCTCTGATTTTGGTAGTGAGTTAAAGGAGGGTTTGAGTGAAAGGACAGGAGTGGTTGGAAAAAAAAATGATAAAACAAAAGAAAAGGCAAAAATAAATAAACGAACAATAAGGGCAACAAAATGAAAACAAGGCTTTGAAACTTAAAATAAATTTTAAATTTAGGTACCTTGGCTTAGTAACATGAATAAACCAAAAAATGAATAAATGACCAAAAATAATTGTTAAATAATGGGTGGGGGGAATATGTGAACATGAAACCTTGAGATCATAGAGCCTCAAATAAAATTACCTACCTGCAATTTAAATTCTTCTTCTAAACCAATCCCTCAGTATTCCCCAGCCCTACTGTACAGACTACCCAACTTTAAAAACACCTGTAAATATTGCAAGATTTATTACACGAGAGTCTGATGATGCTTCACAGATGCTGTTTCAAGCTTTCACTTCTACATTCTAGAATGAGGGTGATTCATAGACAGTATTCATTTGTGAAAAGGTTTTCAGATATAAAAAGTTGCAATAACTGTTAGATCCCTTCCACCAATTCCAATTAAAAAAAAGAAAAGAAAAGAAATAAAAGCCCATATAAAAGATCGTTCCCTCTGACTATGCGAAAAACTGAGTCAGCCTGACCAGTTTTAAGGAAAGGTGTTAATCTAGCATGGATTGTAGCCTGTATACAGTAAGCATGCAGAATCAATAAAGGATGAAAATGCATAGTCCAAGATTTACCTACCCGAGGGTAATGTCAGGCTTGTTGATTCTGACTGTAACTTGTACTTACCCTACGTCAGCTTTCAGCTTTTTAAAAAATTTATTATAACTCTTCTTGAGACACCATTGCTAGTAAAGAATTAGATTCCACCAACAAATTTTGGTAAAATCAATAATAATCATCTATCCCTTACAAAATGTCAGTAACACAGCCATTAAAAAGAACTGTTTAAAAAAAAATCCTGAGAACCACCTGGAAAAGATATGACTTATGTGCAAAATTTCTTTCATTTTGTACGTAATTATTCATATAAAGTAGAATTTACATAAGACTTAAGAGAGAAACTTTCTTACTGTCCATTCTAAAATAAAATGGTCACTTTCTGAGCAATTATTTTCCATCAAATTACCCAAACATATCATTATTTGAGAAAATTAAAAAAGCAGTAAGAGCAATGCAACCATTATCATAAATTATTTTTAAAGTTAATAATATATAATTCCTACGGGACAAATAAGAGGGATAAGATATATATATACATATATATATATTTATTTATATTTATTTATTTTAAGGCAATTGATGTGGTAGAATGAGTAACTCATTTCTAATTTTGTGTCGTGAATATGTAGCTTGGGTATTTCCTTAGACCTTGTGGGTCTTAATATTATGTAGTGTCAGATGTATTCAATTGTTTACAGGATTATCAGTCTTTTTTAATTTACATGTCTTGGGTTCTTCATGATTGTCAATCAAAATGAAAGCTCCCTGTACTGATGAAAAGGAAATTCTCATACGACAATCTTGAAAATTTGGAGTAAGATTTGCAAAATCACGAGAATATCTATCATCTTTATTGATTCTGACTACACGTTCTTATGTTTCAAATTATAAAACTATTTCATATGCATTATCATTATTCATAATAAATTGAGTTGTTCATGTAACAGTAAGGACTCATTTGTAATTCTTTTTAAAAAGCTGATTTGGTTTTTACTACATTGCTACTTTCAGACCTCCTATTCTGTGAGAATATATTCAACATCTCTTGAACCTTTCACTTTAATAAAATAAAAAGTAGGTAAGCTTTTGATGTGGTTATAAAATGTCCATTCTGTCTCTATGTATGTAAATAGGTAGGTATGTAGCATGCATGCAAAAAAGTCAATTTTGTAAACCATGTAAAACAGGATATTGAAGCATGTCACATTTCTTTTAATTAAATGTCTGAGTTTAAGAGTTATCTTCTACAATATTACTTACTAGTCTGCCTGGAATTCAAAGGCAAATACAAAACTGCATTAATTTACATGCTTCATTTTTTAAAAGAAAGGGAATTTTATGGGAATAGACCATAATCACTAATGGATTAAGTAATAGGATCCTAATACTTTTTGTACCAACAGGCATGTTTTGAGAAAGAGAAAGAATATAACTTTTATTTTCAAAAAACCCTGAAAGATTTTAAATTTCTATAGAATATAGACTTGCTTATATGAAAGAAAATTCATTTTTTAGAAAATATAAATTTCATGTTTGCTGCTAGGTCTAATATTTAGGTCAGTGAGCATCCTCTTTACAAAATTCAATGTATTGAGATTACACATATCTACTGCATATATAACTATTAAAAATCACATATAAAATATAAAGTAGCAAAAAAAAACCTAGGGAAATAACTCCATAAAACTGTTCAATTCAAAGTCAATGGTTGTTTAATAGACTAATTATAGGAACTTACTATTAAAGAGGAAACCATAGTATTATTATAAGTCACCAAACTTTCCATCAAAAATAAACTTCCATATAATACTTTACATAAAGCAATCTTCCCTGGACACAATGAACCCCCATTGTGATAAACACAACTATGCTCTAGGGCAACAGTTCCAAAAAGAAATTGAACCTGAGGAAACAAAATACAATTTAGGATTGCAAATGTACTTGTGATTATTCTATTGTTCCTAAATTTGCCCAAATACAGATTTTCTACGAAATGTTCCAAATTTCCACATGTACTACTTGAGGAGTTAATAACAAAGTAGTCACAAGAGCTGAGTTCTTCTCTGAGTAGAAATAAATACATGAAATAAAAACCTATTTGTTAGCAAAGTTAAAACCTGTGTGCTTAGGAGGCGTTTGGGTGGCTCAGTTGGCTAAACGTCCGACTCTTGATTTTAGCTCAGGTCATGATCTCAGGTTCGTGAGATCCAGCTGCACATCCAGCTCTGTGCGGCTGTAGAGCTTGCTTAAGACTTTTTCTCTCCATTTGTCCCTCTCCCACCCCCCCGCTAAAATAAACAAACAAACAAACAAATAAATAAAAATAAACTTTAAAAAAAACACCTGTGTGCCTAAAAAGCTTACAAGTTTGGTCTTTTTTACCTCTTTAGTTTGTTAAGCCCTCTTGTGATTATTTGGCAGTGTTTTCAACCAGAATATTGCTGGTTATAAATCATTACACAGGGCCTGGTGGAACTTTCATTCATTTTCCTGACGGAAGTCTTCTAACTCCTCCGACTTCTTTCAGTTTAGGAAGGGAGAGAATGGGATCTGTTATTTGGACCAAGTTGGAAACCAACATAGGTCATGGTTGTAATCCCCAAAGTTGGATGCTTACTAGCATAGAAACTACTGACTGTCTAACTTAATAATTAGCTGATTTGTTTGTTGGCTGGGGAGTGGGGAAGGCTGCAACACCCCCTAATGAAAAAGGGCAGAAAGTAAGCAAAGAGAGACACCTACTTGACTGCATGGTTCTGGCTGATATTTCAGCTGTGGAAGCACCCAGGCCTTGAGGAGAGCGTGCGGCCAGACGGAAGTAGTACAAACTGTTGGGTTTCAGCCCTTGCAGTCTATAAGATGTCCCAGGCTCAATGGTAATCCGTTGCTGTGGATAAGTATCAAAAGAACTGGGTCATTTTCATTAAGATTCATGCAAATATTTTTAGCACACTGCCTGCAACCTCAGATGTCTGTCACTGGAGTTATAAAGTCATCAAAATATCACAAACAGAATCAACAGTGAGTATCTAGGACTCTACCAGGGGAACTATACAAAGAAAATATCAGTGTTTAAAGGAAAATTCCTATAATGAAGGCAACCAGAACAATGGAAGCCCGAGATCTTTCTAATGATAATGCAGTGGCCAAATGCATCAAGTAAGAGGGAGATTGAGAGGCCACCACCCATAAGCATGTTGTACGTTAAGGTGCATGTGTTGCTGAGACAAAGCCCACAACAGACACTGACACCTGCCCCTGATGGTGGAGTCTGGCCAATGTGTGCCAATTTCAAGTGAAGAGATTGTCTTGCTCATCTCCCATGATCTTCTGCAATTTAAATTGGGGCAAAGAAGATATGGCCAGACTGGTGTACAGTTTCTATGACATTGCTACAAGAGATCTGAAATTGCAAAGTTCTGATGGGATAAAAATCAGATGTTTGTTAGCTGGAAAATTTATATGAAACCATACCATCACTCTAGACTGATTTAAAATCATTTTAAAACTTTCTTTCTTTGTGACTACAGAGCACGCAGCTAGAAAAAAGTCACAAACTTTTCTGCAAATTTTAACATCATAAAGGGCTTTTGAAATAAGGTTTCTTTAATTGAATGTTGTAACTCTTACTCTTCATACTTAAAATTTCACTGGTATTTTAGCAAAAATAGAGCTATGGGTAATCAATCTCAGATTGAACATTAGCCTGTAGTAAGCCTTAAAATACACACTATTATGTAATTTAGTAATGGCATAAATAATCTTAAGGCTTTTCAACGAATAGGGTTTGCTGTTCACACAAACAGAAATCATTCAAGGGGAATTCAAATATAAAACTAGAGAAAACATCCTGAGGGTATTCTGGCTCACAAATACAAAAGCTTTTAGACATTTTAGATTTCCCAAATGGTACGTAAAAACGGAATCCCCAAAGAAATAATTGTAAAACAGAGTAGGTGCACCAACATTCAAGCACCTACATCTACAGCATTCTCAAAGGAGTGTCACTCTCCTTGCACTGTTTTAACTTTATTTGTTTTTCAGTTGGGTAGTGGCAAAGATTTAAAATAAATTAATGTTGAATTACGTCTTAATAAAAACATCAATAGTGGTAACATGAGTACTTTAAGTTATAGCAGCATTTCAATTATATACTTTTTGAGTGCTTAATTCATATTGGCTTTGTTAGCTAACTCTAAAAGCATTGCATTTAGAACCTGGTCTTTGGAGATTCTGCTCAATTCAAACAGCTGTAAAGACAGAAGTTTATAGGAACATATTAATTTATTACAGTATTCAGAATGATATACCATAAGTTAACTGATAATATTTCATTTAGTGTGTGAGTATAAAAAAAAGTTATTTCTGTTAGAAGTTAGGGGCTACCTAGCTTTGTAAAGATCTTTTTTAAGATAAAGAATACTAAGAGGTACAATAAAATGACTTGTGTGGATTGAGTTTTCACATATAGTTTCACCAACATTTTGTCCTAATGTTCCAGCCTGGATGTCACAGTAACAAAAGAAATACATTCATTACTATCATATATTCCCATCCTGAAATTGTCAGATGCATCTTAATACCGATTTCTATAGTTTATACAAAGTACACCACCCAAGAGGCAGTATATACCCTATTGGTTAAAAAGATAGATTCTGGAACCTGACTGCCTAGAGTTTCAAATCCCAGTTCTGCCATTCAGTAGTGTGAGATTTGGGGGAATCTCTTTTACCTTTTCTGTGCCTTCATTTTTTATATGTGAAATCGATTAAAAGTAAGAACTTACTCATGACACCACCACCAGTAAGAACTGAATGAGTTAATATATGTGAAATCCTTACTATACCTCTTAATATATGCATTAGTTATATTGATTTGGTTTCTCTTTTCAGTAACTATCAACAATTGCCAAACTTTTTCATTTTACAATTATTTTATTTGCATAGCGTACTCAAACATTATATATATTCCCATTCATATCAAATAACTCTTGGCATACAAATAAACATTTGCTGCAGGGCCTCTTTCTCTGAAACCAGTTTGGAAAAATTCATCCAACCAAAGCCTTGGAAGTCATTTAACTTAAGTACTATATGGCTTAATTACCCTAGGGCAGAAGAGAAATAAAGGAAGTCCCTAAGTCTCATGGGGTATATTCTTTTAGATACTTTCAGAAGACGCTTGGAAGCCTGGAAATAGGGATAACAGCTGCTTTGTTGTTGGTGTTTGCCTCATTCTACCCCTAAAGGCTTGAAATCAATATTTGTTTTTTTGGTCAAGTTCCTTTTTTGATGAATAAATCTTTCCCACCAAAGTGCTCTATAGATATTTGACCTTTTGGCAGAACCTGGGTGAATACACAAAAGTAGAGTATTGCCCCAGGATAGTGAGTGATCAGAAGGTGAGAAGCAGTCTTACCTCCTCGCCAGGCTCCCCATCTTTGTAGACCAGTTCATAGTTGGCAATGGTGTCTGAACGTGGAGGTGTCCAAGACAGCAAAATACTTGTTTCAGACTCAGGTTCTGCTTTGAAGTTTAGTGGTTGCCCTGGTACTAAAAACAGGAAGGCAAAGGACTGAGTTCATCATCACCATGAGTATTTGAAACCCTTCCATTAGTGCATCTGTTTAAACCTCTCAAAATGTGTCCACATGTGTAGCTTAATGAAGAGCTAGGTCCTTAACATTGTTTATAGTCCATTTTTCCTCCTTCAAGGTATAAGAATATTTTTAACACTGCACTTGTTCTTCACTTGATCTTAGCCAAAAGGCCGAGAAGCGATGACACTGCACTTGTTCTTGATCAGTTTAAAATCTATACAAGATGGAGACTTATCAAACACAGAATAGAACATAAATCTGATAATAAATCTGATCTCACGAATAATAAGGTTATTTCATAATATTGTTGTACATAATAAGTGAGATGATTTATATAATACACTTGGAATCAATATTGTCTAAATCATAACAAGTGCTATATACATAAAATCCATTGTTATTTTACAACCAAGAACTGTTCTCTAGCACTGCATTTAACTTTCAAAATTATTTCTGATTAGGTTTATAAAATCCCACCTTCACTCCATTAACAAAACCTACTGGTAAACCGGAATCACGTAGTATTTTTCTCACCAACCCACATTTTGAAAAAGAGGTTAAAAAAAAAAATATCCCTTATAAATAATTACTTCTAATCCCTAATTGACTTTCTTTTTAAAAAGATTTTATTTATTTGTCAGAGAGCAAGAGACAGAGAGAGAGCACAAGCAGGGGGAATGGTAGGCAGAGGGAGAAGCAGGCTCCCCACTGAGCAAGGAGCCTGAAGCAGGACTGGATCACAGGACCCTCACTTGTCCCTAGTGAGATGGAGCTAAGTTACTACACAAATTAAAAAGTTTAGAGAATATGTTTATTATCAGACATACAGTAATTTATCAGATGTCATGTATAATTCTCATATTAGTCATTATAACCCATGCAATAGACAATTTGAAAGAGCTATGTGTCAGATGTATTAAAGAATGAGACATATATCCAGTTTAAAACACTTTACTCAAATTCTGTATTAGAAGAGGTTTTACTAACCCCAACCTCCTGGTTAACATCAAATCCCATTAGGTCCTCTATCCCTTATACACAAGGATAATGTAGTTCAGGGCATCACTGGCCCAGCTAACCTTACTTTGTCCTTGGCCAGTGTCTGTTCTGATCGGTTGGCGCCCAGGCCATGCTGGCCATTAACTATTTTGATCATTACCCCTGATATTGTGGCACATCTTAAAGTGCTATAGCTGACCTTATGCCCATATTCTCACAAGTATATTCTGTGTATATTTAATAAAAAACAAGAACAATAATACTTTATACTAGAGGGAAAAAAAATGTGAAGTGTTTTTGGTGAATGGGCATAAACACTGAAAAACTTACTTAGGAAAAATAATATACTTTGTAACTGATGTATGACTTCAATTTCTTTTTTTTAAAGATTTTATTTATTTATTTGAGAGAGAGAGAATGAGAGATAGAGAGCATAAGAGGGAAGAGGGTCAGAGGGAGAAGCAGACTCCCTGCTGAGCAGGGAGCCCGATGTGGGACTCGATCCCAGGACTCCAGGATCATGACCTGAGCCGAAGGCAGTCGCTTAACCAACTGAGCCACCCAGGCGCCCTCAATTTCTTAAATAATACTTGAAGCATCATGTTCCTTAGTAAGAAGATCTTTGGAAATATAAAATGTTTTATTTTCTTTTTCTATAAAAGTCATCTCTCTGTAATATGACTAAAATAGTCTTTTATTTAAAAAGAGATCAAAGTCTAAACAGATCTACCAGAACAGTTTCCAGTATTCCTATTTTATTCTTCTGTCTGGTGTGTTAACCTGTGTGTGTTGGGGGGGGGGCATGTGCGTGTATGTACCTTATGTGCAGGCATACAATTTCATGTTTGGACTGATGCATAAAGCAACCAATAGTCAGTTCTTCTTATTTTTAATTGCATTCATCATTTTTTCTCCTTTTTTATCACAGGCCTTGAGATACTCATTAATTTGATGGCTCTGTGAACATACTTTCTAAACAAGGTATCTTTTTTTTTTTCTCTGTAAGTACTCGCCCAGTGAGAGACCTAACACAATCATCCAGATTGAGAAATGGAGACAAAAAAAGATCAAAGATCAAGAGCAAGAGTTGGTGGGGGTGGGAAGAGGGGAAAAATAAACAGGAAAATAGCAAAGCAAATAGAGAATGCATTAGTTCTAAACAGGAAATACCAAAAGTCTGGCAGGAGCAACAATGGAAGCCAAGAACAATCAGACAGATGGAGAAGTTATGATTGGATTTTAATATTCAGATGATTAAAGGGGGTCTCAGCCTAAAAATACACACACATATGCATATGTGTGTGGTCACTTCTCTCTCTCTAGTTTTGTTTCCTTTTTTCTTTCTCCCAACTTCCACAAATCTGAGAAAGAAGAAAGCCTTATGATAACTCTTGACTTAGACCAAGCTGGAACACAGTATTGTCAAGAATTAAAAACATGGACAGAACTGAAGGGTTACTCTCAGGATTATAATTGCCTGTTATGTATTTCCTCCCTGCCTAATGCTAATAATAAATTGACATTGATTGAAAACATCTTGGGAATCTAATTAACTTTTTCTTATTTAAACTGTTTACTTTTTTTGCTTTTAATTTGTCTTGAACAAATTCCCAGTGAGTCTCAATGTTTCATCCTCGTTTAGTGACACAAACTTCATCTGACCCTCCAATTCTATTAAGACACCTCTCCCTCTAAATAATGAATTAAACAGGCTCAAAGCTTCAGAGGGTGCACATTTCATTTTATTCTTGGACAAAATAAGTAGTGGTCAGATGACTTCAAATAATATATACAAGGTTCTCCTCCTTGGCTTCTATCTTGCCCTTCTTTTGAAGTGGTCTGGAGGGTAATTTAGTTTACTAGATGTTAAACTTGTGATAGAAGTACAAATGCCCAGGGCACCTGGGTGGCTCAGTCAGTTAAGAGTCTGCCCTCGGCTCAGGTCATGATCCCAGGGTCCTGAGATCCAGTCCCACATGAGGCTCCCTGCTCAGCCTGCTTCTTCCTCTGCCCCTCCCCTCTGCTCCTGAGCTCTCTCACTCTCTCTCTCAAATAAATAAATAAAATCTTTAAAAAAAAAGAAAAAAGAAATAAAAATGTCCAGAGGTATCAGGCAGATCACTTAGAGACCAGGTGGGGTATGGGGCCAATGGGAGAGTGCCTGGCCCACCTGAAGGAGTTGGTGGTATTCAGCACCAGCATATTGCAGCTTTGTGGAATGTTGGTCAAAGCTTGCCTAAACTTCCGATTTTTCAACAGAAGTTGATAGTGAATCTTCTAGGTGAAATATTTCCATTTTTAACCATTGGAAATAATTGAATTAATTTAAATTAATTGAAAAGACGATAGGGGGCAAATTATGTCTACAGGCGAAATCCAGCAAATGGACCAGTGCTTTAAAAGACCTTTTTATTATATCAGGCTCTATGTTCATAAACACCTTAAGGTGCCACTACTTAGATCTCCCTGGGAATTGAAGATTCACTTAGAGATGCTTCCTCAGAGACATTTAGCCATAGTTGAAACAACCACAATAAAACTGTGGCATCAAAGTAAAAGAAAAAAGCTGTGAAATTAATGGATTTATTTTTACATTCCTCAAACATAGTAGTCCTAATGATCATAATATATGTATATGAAGAAGCACTTTAGGGGGCTCCAAATGGTCTTATTTCTCTGTACTATTTGGAAACACAGAACACTTCATGTTCTGTTAGACTTCTATATCAATTATGGTGGCTTCAGATTCATTAACATTTATGTTTGTATTATCTACCCCCTCCTTCCCTCCTCTCTCTCTCTCTCTCTTCAAATGTTCTCACAGTCTTTACACCTCAACCTTACTGGCATTCTTTTCACTTCTTGTTTGTCTGTGCCTATTTTACTTTTATTTAAGAGCTTTTCTGTGTTATAGCATTTCCCTCACCAATTAACTGAACATAAATTTTATAGGAAACTCTGAGATTCTGGAAACTCATGGAAAAAATTTAAAAAGCCCATCCAGAAACTTCAGTGCAATCATTCTTCATTAGCAAGAGAGATGTGATATTATTGACCATAAACCAAATTTAGAATTTAGATGTGGACAGAGGAAATGGAGGTAGAACTTATAATTTTTCCTTAAAACTATATTTGAGAAATGTTTGTATTCTGTAAAGTGGTGTCAACATTATGCTTTTCTTCTTGATAACTTAATGTCCACAAGGAAATACAAATTCTCTATCTCTATCAATTCTCTAAAATAAGATTATAAACCCATTGATGAATGTAAAGTATTCGAGTAGTACTACTATTATACTCCATATAAATACCTGAAGGCAACTCAAAGATAGAGAATAGAGAATTAATGAGATATGAAGGGAGTATCTGTATGTCATCTGAAATGCTGATAATATTAGAAGATATCAATACTTAAGTAAAATTAAGCAAATATCTCTAAAGAGATAGGGGTTAACATGTAGTAAATGGCTAGCCAACAATTTCTCTTAGCCATATTATAAATACGAAATATTATCAGAGAAAGTAGGAAACCTATTATTGTGAAAATACTTAGTTCTTTAATAAGGCACACTTTTGGAAATATATCTAGCATTTTAATAAATGATAACAATAATAAAAGCAACACCAGAATTATAGAGGAAGTAAAACAAAACAAAATTCAAAACAAGGAGTCTGATTTGTAAGTGCCAAAAATATATCATTGATAAAATAAGTATTTAATACACAAGCACCTGCACACATCTTACTCTCAATTGTCATTAAATATCAGTGTGAAAAGTTAAATTTTATTACAGTTGTATTTACATCCAGAGCTTCTTTACTAAGATTCCTTTTAGCTCCTTTGCCAAAACTACTTTAAGAATGAATTTAAATTGGACTCATAACTTGGGAAATTGGAAATCAGTCTTTTTCTAGTTTGCTTATTCAGGCCTGTTGACATATACTAATGAAATGCTTTAGTAAGTTCTGGAAACCTAAACCGTCATGTCTCTAAATGTCATAGTTTTTTTTTTGTTGTTGTTGTTTTTACTTTTTATCTTTTTAAATAACAATTCTGCAATGCCCAGAATTTGGAGTAGAATTAGCTTCTTCAAAAAGGTTAAAGTTGGTACTCAGTATTTATTTAGTAGATATACATAATTCTTTTCCTTCCAGAGGCCTATACTATTAATGTATACACATAGAAATCAAGAATCTTTTTCCAAGAATCTGTTAAATGCACAGAAAAATTAGAGGTCAGATATGTTTTCTAAAGAAAGAAAAAAAAAACAGACATTAGGATTTAACAGATTTAGAATGGCTCCAATTAGCATGAACATCAGGCAACATTTTAGGGCATTAGGTTTTAGATGTAATTCACTACATTCTTTATCACAGTTTTATTTGTACTTCTTTTATACAATATAGTTACTGTATATTCTTATTATAATTATCTATACAAGAAAACTATATAAAAAGGCATCCTTTCAAAATGTGTATTCTAATAGTAGAAATCTTTTCCTAGCACAATATAAATTCTTCCCTTAACAATGGCATATATACTGCATTCTCCACATTTTTAAGGGAAACTAGTGGCAAGTGACTGTAATGCCAAGAGTTAAAGCTATGGAAAAATTGGAAGATTAACCTGTGTTTCTAGAACATAATTATTTTAACCAAGATATTTTCATATCGAAAAGCACTTAAAAATTACTTAATATTATCAACTGTATGAATAGTCATGATTAAGGGGAAATATTATTGACTATAAATAGATCATATATCGATTTTCTATATTATCAGAAATACATAAATTGCTATCAATCCTCCATTTACATCTATATGTTAACAGTAATCTTAGATGAGATCAAAAGTTACAACTTCCCTCTTAAAGTCAATTTTTTACTACATACTGTTTCTTCAGAGTCCAATTTTAAACAAAAACAGGACTATTAGTGCCAGCGAATTAAAGACAAAAAATGAAATGAACTGCTTTCAGATATAGAAGACATAGAAATTTATATCTTTGTATATATGAAATTAAAATATACTTGAGAAATTTATACATCTTAGTAAATTTTCATAGGTTTGGGAAAGATAAAATTGCAGTGAAAATAATTATATCCTCAAATTTTCTATAGCCTCTCTAAGAGAATATTTCATAATGATTTTATGTTTTTCCCTAGCTATGATTCTAAGAAATAGTTAGCAAGAAAAAAAAGGAGCAGCTCAGCATTAATTATATTAGAACTAACATCACTGTATTTGGCAGGTGTCCACTAACATCAAATGGCCTTTGTTAATTAAGCCTAGGGAACAGATCAAATCATTGTGCTATTTTGGAAGGTTTTCTTAGCCTATTGATTTTGGCAGGCACAAGTCATTATGTCATTATATATCTTCTCAATCAATGGATATTAGAAGTACAACTATTATACAAGGTTCTTGGAAATAATGTAAAAATATCACAGATTGGGAATAACTCTTCTAATGCATCTGTGACCCATTCATTCAGATTTTTCTAAGTTCAGAGTCCTTGGATCACATTAACTCAATATTCCCTGTTGTAGCACTGCCTTAACTGAGTTATGGCTTATGTCATATTATGTCCCTTGGTGATACAGAAAACCAAAATATGGTCTATTTGAAGGTCTATTTAAACATCAGTTCTATATCTACCAATAAACTGTGACCAAGAGCATTATTGTCTGTCTTCTCTGTTCTGAATATAAAGATTCTCATTATTCCCAAGGATTCTTACATTTTGGTTGAACTTAGTTCCAGGAAGTATTTGGTGTCTAAGATACCTAAATCTTCCTGGTATCAGACAAAAAAAAGTTATAAAACATTATGGATTCTTATGTTTAAATATGTGGTTTGAAAACACCAAATTTGGCGATCAAGTATAATAACCTGTGAAAAGAGGTATACCTTCCACTACTTTCAGATAAGCTTATTTTTTTTTACATCTAAATGGTTTAATGTACTTTTGTACTAGGATAGTATAATAGCTACCTCAAGTATTTCAAAGGTAAATTACATATAATTCTTAAATAAAGATATGAATAAATGAATGACTGTGTTTACTGCCTCTATTTATTGAGCACCTGGTGGGCACAAAAATCTAGCAGGCACTGAAACTATCACAAAAGCAAATTATTAATTTGAAAATAATGATGCTTTAAAGTAGCTAGGGTACCTGGATTTAAATTCTGCTTTCCCACTTACCAACCTTATGACTGAAAAACAAGTTCCTGAATCTTCTTCAATCCTCAATTTACTCATTGGAAAATGGGGTAATTCCACATCTACCTAACTGGGTAGTAATATTGATACATGAAAAGTTCACAGCAGAGTATCCAGCATATGTAGCTGTTTTTATTATGATGATGATTATATATTACTTATTAAATTATAAAATGTTTCTATCCATTACCTAATTTATAGAGCTGTTATGGGTTGAAGTGTAACCCACAAAATTTCATATATTGAATTCCTAACCCATAGAATGTGACCTTATTTGGAAATAAGATTTTTGCAGATGTAATTACTTAAGATGAGGTCACTTGGTTGGGCCCTTATCCATTATGACTGAAATCCTTATGAAAAGGGGGAATTTGGACAGAAAGCCACACACACAGGAAGAACACAATGTGACAATGAAGGCAGAGATCAGGGTGATGCCTCTCCAAAGCAAGGAACAGCCAAGATTACTAGCAAAACAACAGAAGCTAGGAGAGAGGCCTGGAAGACGCCCTGAGAAAGAACCAATTCCATGCACCTTGATCTCAGACTTCTAGCCACCAGAATGGAGAGACGGTAAATTCCTGTTCAAGCCACCAGTCTGTGGTATTTTGTTACAGCAGCCGTAGAAACCAAATACCACCTCTAAATTTTATAAGGTGGTTATTATTTTTGATGATGAGAAAACTGAAGTTCAGAGAAATGAAGTAACTTGTCCAAGGTTATAGAGCTAAAAATGCTAGACCAGGATTCAAACTCTGGTTATATTACTCCAAAACTAGAGATTTTTAAAATATCAACACTGAGGGGCACCTGGGTGGCTCAGTCAGTTAAGCATCTGACTAGTGATTTCAGCTCAGGTCCTGATCTCATGTGTGGTATGACTGAGCCCTGTGTCTGGGCTCCATGCTCAGCAGGAAGTCTGTTTGAGTTTCTCTCCCTCTGCCCCTCCCCGCCTCTCTCTCTCCCTCTCTCTTCTCTCTTTCTCTCTCAAATAAATGAATCTTTAAAAAATATATCACCATTGAAAAATCAGAAAAACTAAAAGTGGTGCACAGGTATATGTTCTTGTATATATTTTCTGTTATCTTTAAATAGAGAGCTGCTAAAATAGTGTAATAAAAAATAATCTCATAACAATTGACCAGTTTTAGTCAAGAAAAAGAACAAGATACACAGATTTCTACATTTTCCAATATGAGATATATAGGAAAATTAATCTATAGTGTTTTTCTGTATATTAGTATAACAAATAAGTACAGAAGAACTGCAAGAGCCAAGTAGGGAAAATATATGAATGTTTTTTAGTATAATTGTGATAAGGTATATTTTTTATAGCTATATTTCATATTATTAGAGAAAATAATAAATCCATGAGCAAACAGCAAGAACACAACAACAGTATAAAAAATAAAACAAAGTCAGGCAGGCTGTAAATATGTTCTGAGATCTCTAGTAGCCAGGGAAAATAGGTAAACACCCTCAGTGACATGATTCATAAGACATGAAACATGAAAACAAGTCAGGGTTAAACATAGGTTTATCTAGTTCTGACACCTCAGAAAATTCATTCCCAAGATTACCAATGAGTTATACCTACAGATTATAACTACTCTGTCCAATAATATGTTTCTTAATAATATGGTTTTTATGTAGATTCTCAGAACAAACCAATAGCATACTGCCAAAACACTGAGATTAACACAAGTTATGAGGTACCAACACCTCATAGGAGTCAAATTAATAGCTCTCAGATGTTCAAGAATAAACTTTATAAGAAAGTTGCTATGTCATATTCTCAACCTAAGGCAAAATTGATCACTTTGAATCAAAGACCAGAGGTCTTATATCCGCTTATGAAAATAAAACCACTGGAAAGGCCAAGTGTTTCTCCATAAAATAGTGTGATATCCGCCCGAATGCCCAGTAAAATGAGTCAATGAGGCCCCAAAGTTTGATCTAGGATCTTGATAACTGTCTTTCTCCACCCATGAAGCCATACAAAGAAAAAAAAAGTCAAAAATCCATTAGGAGAGTATTTTTAGTGGGTAGCTGCTTGGAAAATAGAAGACATTTAAATGTGTAAGGCCCCCTGACAAATGGTTTTATTTTTAAGTTTATCTTGAACCACCCAATCTTTCATAAGTTAAATATTTTTGTAAGAGTATTCTATCAGAGTCACTAGTATAAAGCAGGATAGTTCTATTCTCAAAATGCTGCACGGAGGATGCACTCATCCATCTCATTCAGAAAAATCTTCAAGTCATTTGGGTACAAATTTTTTAAAAAAGATGCTAAATGCATCCCTCTACTTAGAGTATTACTTAGTCTTTCAGTACCCATGCCTGTTCTGCTCCAGATGTCTTATCTCAACCTCTCATTTAGAAACTCTAAGTCTCAAAAATTAAAATTCATACTTATCTTTGTCTTGTCTTTGTTTTCACCATTCACACCTCTTAGCACCTACTCCTTCCCTCCTTCCCTACTCTCCATCAGAACCAGACTTACCTCCTGTCTGAGTGATGACTTGTATGTCACTTGAAAGAGGACCATCTCCAATTGAGGTAAAAGCCAGAACTTTGACAGAATATGTTTTCTGGGGCACTAAGTTGCCAATAGTAGTGATTTGGCTGTCAGCTACGTTATGCTTCATCCAGTTGTTGACGTGCTGAGTGGGATCCATTGTATAATAAACTCTGTATCCTTGGATCTGTCCATTTGGTTCTTCAGGTTCCTTCCACTGTACCAAAATGGTGGTTGAACTTAACATCCGTGCCTGCACATCCCGTGGGGCACTGGATGGTGCTTGTTCTGAGGTTTGTGTTAGCACAGGCTCGCTGGGAGGTCCCCGCCCAATGTTATTGACAGCAACAACCCTGAATTCATAATCCGAGTAGGGACTTAGTCCAGCGACACTGTAGCGTGTCGTTGCCACCCCATCAATTTCTTTGTAAGGTTCCTCAGAATTTTTAGGTTTATGTTGAATGATGTAGTAAGAGACAGGCTCAGGATTCCCAGAGTCCCACGTCAATGTGATGCTTGTGGCTGTGCTCTCGGTCACTACAGGAGTTCCTGGAGGTTTGGGTAAGGCTTAGGGGGAGAAAAAAAGGACAGTGAATACGCATCAGCTCTAAGATATTACAAAGATCCATAAGCTCTACTAATGGAATAACAGAATTATGTTATCTACTGAAAGATTTGATTAGATTAAATTATAACAAAAGATTGTTTTCTAAGTGGGTAGGATGTATAGTAAGATGCGTAGGGGACAAATCTCCTTTTACTAGAGGCACATTAGAGCACTGTAATTTGAGGCTTGTATTCAAATCCACCAGTTATTAGCTATGTGATCCTGGATGCATTGCATAACCTCTTTTTGCTTTAGTTTTCACATGTGGAAAACGGGAAGAGCTACCACTGGATTGTATTGTACAGCTGGGTAACTGTATTTCATGAGTGCTGTGAAGATTAATGAGCTATTCCAGTAATGCTCTCAGAATGTATCCAGCACCCTCAAAAAACATTAATTGCAATTATTACTATTATTATAACCAAGAGTTTGGTCAATTAGCTTCTTGCTTCAGGAAATACATGATATAACTAAATACCAACATTGAAAAGAACACAATTTGTTATATATTCAAATGGCATTATATCACTATGGAAGAATAACATCCATATTGTTTTCCACTTATAAGACATAGATAACATTACATAATTAAAAAAATTATCTAGGGGCACCTGAGTGGCTCAGATGGTTAAGCATCTGCCTTTGGCTCAGGTCATGATCCTCAGATCCTGGGATGGAGTCTGGCTCCCAGCTCAGCGAGGAGCCTGCTTCTCCCTCTCCCTCTTCCTCTTCCCCTCTCCCCACTCATGCTCTCTGTCTGTCTGTCTGTCTCTGTCTCAAATGAATAAATAAAATCTTAAAAAAAAATAATCTAACCAAGAATTTTAAGGTAAGAAAGAATAGTAAATTTCAAATTGACTAATTTTAAATTCATGTTTTAGTTAATATTCAAAAATGTTGAACTAAATTAAAGCATATTCACAAATAACTTTTTAAAGCAGTTTACTATCATAATGTGCAGTCTATATTCAATATCAATAATACCTGAAATTATAGCTACCACCTAACTTTTGAGAGAAAACCCAGAATGTAACACTCATATGATCAGCCCTTTCATACTCTTTTTCCTTGTCAACATAAAGGCAAAAAGTATAATACTCTCTAGAATGGCAGCTTTTCAAGAGTCGCAAACTTGTACTTGATTACATGTGTATTTCCAATACCTAGAATACTGCCTAGCAGTGTTAACTGAATGAACACCTAACTCAATGAATGAGTTGGGATACATCCTCACTCTCTTCCACTTGCTCTTTTTGTTTTGATTTACTTTTCTGCCTACAGGATTCACCCTTATATTTATTTATTTTTGAGGTGGAGAGGGTAGGGAATGGCAAGAGCCTGGAAAACAAAGATAAGAAGTTGAACAAGATATTAGTTAATGTGACTCCTGATTTTGAATTCTTGAAGGTCTTTAGTAAACCTTCAAATATTTGAAACTGAAATAGTTATTATAAGAAAGGTGATTCAATATTTGCATATTACTCTAAGAACTATAGAATGATAATATTTAGCCAATGGATTTTCTGAAAATAATAATAAAAAGACATTTGAACAAATGTTCAAATATACTGGACTGACATTTTTCAAAAAGTAGATGATCCAAATTTTTCCTAGATGTGTTTCTGAATTATTAAGGTAAGTAAAAATATGGCTAATTAAAGGTGTGCTTACTGATACTTAACAGACGTTAGCTTTGCTATCACATTTATTGTACGGTATAGGTTTTGTGCCTATACTGTATGGATAAGTGTAAGTATGCTTAATACAGTTATGGATATTCAATACAACATTACTATTTTAAATGACTAAAATGTTGACAATGGCATGTACTTTTGTTCTCATGTCACATTATTGCTTTTTATATTGCATATATTTGATATATATGCTTGGTGGGGGATATGACACCAATTACAACATGTGTGTTACATTTTTTAGGATCATACTTCCTGGAAAGCAAAGATAATTTGTGTTCATTTTTGCAATAGTTCCAGACATTTGCAAGAACCTAAAGTCATCCTCAGTCTGACCCTTTTTACATAAGTGTTCAAGAATTCTATAAACACTTATAAAAACAATTGGTACCCCACACACTTACTTTTGTTTTCTTTGTTTTAAAAATATTTGTGATATTTGTAACTTTGGTTACATTTAGTGCACTTAAATAAAATAATATTTTTTGAGCACTTCATGTATAGAAGATAAGAGGTAAAGTTAAAATGGAACATAATGCCACTTACATTTTGATTTTTAATGACAAGACCCATCAAAATTTTTAAACATCTATTATTAGATCATGTTGATTTAATTCTTTCTTTTTCTTTTGCCTTCATGGATTTGAGCATTTATTAATACTTACTTGTATTTTTCTATCATGTACTCTCACCAGAGTTCTGGATTAATATGAAACCTGTTTGCATCAGTTCTATCATAATGGTTGATAGTGTCTAACGTTTCTCATTCTGCCTGGATAGTGCTCCTGCCCAGCGTATTGTTAAATATACTGATGATTATCATTACTTAGGCTATCAGTCCTTTTAAGAATCTCCTTACCTAGATATGTGTATTTTAAACGATACCATAGATATGATTAGACTTTGAAAACTGAACTCAGATGAATTGATTCATTTTAGAATTCCAAGGGTAGGCTTTGTAGGGACATTAGTCAGGAGACTTGAATGTACCCAGACCCTCAAAGCAAAAACCATTAAGCGTACCTTTGACAGTGATCTGTGCTATTGCTTCAATGACACCCAGTGTTGACATAGCAACACAGGTATAATTTGCTGACTGTCTCACATCATTCAGTTCTAGTACATTTCTTCCTATTGGCATATCATCTTCCGGTGTCAGATCTTCTGCCCCCAACATCCATTTCACATAAGGCATTGGTGACCCCACGGCCACACAGGTGATATTAACACTTCCACCTGGCATGATTTCATGATTAGTAGGTGGGATAGAGAATCTTGGTGGGACACGGCGAACTGGAACAAAACACAAGGGAAAATGATAAAATAAAAGGCAAGATAAAGTGGCTTGTTAAACATATGACATGCACTGTACAAACACAATTAAACAATTGAAACATATTGTGGATTTTCCAAAAACAAAACAAAGAAAAACTGTGGATAATACAGACCATACAAGTATGGTATGTGTATACACAGAAAAAAGTATTTAGTTTAGTCATTGATATCTTAGACACATTCATACAAAAGTTGATTCAGACCTACAAGGGCCCCACAAAACAAAACAAACAAAACAAAAAAATACTATCTACAAACTAACAATACACAAAAATCATGCATAAGATAAACACAAAAACACATACATGCATGTATATAGCAAAGATTTTATGCATGCATGTATGTGCAGAAAAGGGGGCTGGAAGGTCACCAGCAGGTTTAAGTTGAGTATCAAAACCAACTTCAGTGCTGTGCACTTCCAGTTGATGTGAATGTATGTGTGGGACCACATTGTCACATCCCAACCCTGGAAAACATCATCTAGAGGACACGAAAGTGCAATTTATTTGCTTTCAGACTCAGAGTGGATGCAGCCTCAAGACCTCCACTAACACCGGAACACACACAGAAATATATACACATATAAATTAATGCTCACAGAAGAAGAAACAAAGCCAATGCCAGTAGAGATACTGGATTGGGTCATGCAAGGCATGCACAAGATGAAGTCTCAAGGCCTGTGCTTAGGACAATGGGGAAATGGCTGGAATCCAAGACAACAAGGACAAAAGAAGAAATAACAAGGTAACGGCACTAAACATAAAAGGAGGAAGTAAAATACAGTGACTGAAACAGGGATTTAAGGGTTGATAAGGCTCAAAGAAGGAATACATTAGATTAAGCTAGGTTGTCAAAGATAAGGATTGCAAATTCAGGAAGGGAGCTGGGTATTTCACATTTAAGATTCCACTCAGTTCATATCTAAGGTAAAATGACATAGATGATGGTAACAAAATCGGGTAAGAGGCTTTTTATGCTTATATTCAATTGGAAGGACACTGGGTCTAAAACATACAATGAAACATGATATTGAGAGAAGAGGTCATATTAAAGCAATGCAACACAGAAAAAATTACCAAGCAATTATAGTTCAGTGTTCCTGCTTCAGATAATCTGCATGTTTATGTGTGCTTAAGTACATGTGTCTTGGACAAGGAGAGGACAAGAGACAAATAGGCTTCATCTTGGGCTCTTATTGGCAAAACATTACACCAAGAGTATTTTAGATCAAGAGGTAATCATTAGAAGCATACCTTAAATATGGATAATAAAGTGATTTTTTAAATTATAAATAAGTCAATAAACAAACAACCTCATAACCCCAAGAAAATGATAAGTAAATAATTCTGTCTGTAAACTTTTTGGCTGTCATTAAGGTTGAGATAAACCTCCACTGATTCGAGAGGGCTTGCTGTGATGGCCTCACGGGTGAATGACAGGCAGAGGAGAAGAGAGAGCTAGGCATGCCTCCTGCAGCCAATTCACAGGTTACACAAAGCAAGCAGGAGCCACGGGAGGCTCTACGGTGTCAAAGAACATATCAAGAAAATAGAGGAGAGTTTAGTCTTCATGCTTGGGATTAGGGGAACAACTACAAAAAGTCATTCTATGGGCAGCAGGCATCCTTGTAAGACAAAAATTAAGGTGAGGCAGGAGACGGGAAGAGTGGAGCAGGAAGGAAAGCAGGAACACTGACCGAGTTCATGGGACCTGAGAGAGTTAAGTGTTACCAGTTACCATGCACCCAGGTACATTCTCGCCCATCATGCACCACGGTTAGATACCACCAGCAAGCACCGGAAGCCATGGCCAGGGCATTCTCTGCTAAAACATACTATTAACCAAAAGAAGACCACAATGCAGCTACATTCATTTCATTTGTATTCTTTGTTATTGGTTTAATTAAGAGTTTTGTAAGGTGGGTAAAAAGTAAAAAACACACCAACCTTCTCGCAGCTCTGAGGGATGTAGGGGGTTTGATGCAGAACACAATGAAATGAGGAAAGGAGAAAAACAAGGGAAACACAGAGAGAGTAAAAAGGCCATATCAAGGCTTTCAACTGCTACTTGAATATCTTTATTTGCTCTAGTTAATCCTTCCTACCTCAGCTGAAAACGTTAGCAATGCCTCATGGACTAATACGGTATTAGAAACAATAGCTAGCATCATTTTGAAATTTTTCCATTGAAGAAGGTTCACATGCCTCATGCAGCAAAGGAGGTCACCGTTGTAAGAAAAAGGATCAAGGGGCTTTCAAGGAATTTGGAGAAGAAATGGTTTCTTCATATTCTCCCACCCCAGACTCCAGAGAAAGATAGGAGAGGAAAACAGCCCCACAGAAACAAAATTATCTCAAACAAAAATTTCAAAATCAAGCTAGGTATTTTCCTGAGGAAACCCATCTTATTGTAACTTAAAGCCTTTGCAGTCTTTAATCTATTCCCACCCCCACCCATGCCTTTTGTGGTTATTCACAGACACGTAGACCAGGAATAAGAGCATTTCCATTGAACAAGAAGCTATAGGAACCAGCTTTGGAAAACTCTGGGGAAGAAGAAATACTTCTTTCTAATTGAAATGAAAGGCAGAGCCATTCATAAGCTCAAAATGTAACCATTTATATTAGTTTGTGAGAAAATATGAATGTATCCTTATAAGTCAATTCTTGTCCCAAGGACAACTAAGATTATTTGTTAAAAATACAATCAGGGTTCCAGGGCAATTGAAAATTAAACTTTTCAGAATATTAATAACTTTTTAAAATGTGTGCAAATATATGCATAGACATATGCACATACATAAAACCACCTGTTCATAAATTTTAAAAAGTATAAAAAGAAAGGAAATATAATTGTGTTATTTGCATGGGAGCACCTTTTCTTTTTGTTTGTTTTTTTGTTTTTAAGTTAGCAGCTTTATCCTTACAGCTCTGCAGCAGAGGTCTTGAAGACATAAACACTTTTATGCTTGGAGTTGCACAGAAAACTGATTAGTAGCACACCAAGCAATTATTTCAGGGTTTGATAAGGAAACAGAAGAGAAACAGCAACGGAAAAAAAAGAAGGAAAAGAAGAGAACTTCAAACAAATGCCAAGCATAGTTCAATCAATGCAGTAAAAGTAGAAATCAGGATGTAAAAATGCAAATATACTTACAAACTTCAAGCCTCAGGATAGGTTTTACTCAAAAGTCGTCATTTTTTTTTTTTAACAATAGGGTTAAGATCTTTAATTCTCTATGTACTAAAATGCTTCAGCTACTGTAATTACTAGCATATCAGCTTGGTACCTACTGACATAACAACATAGATCTTGTGGGTCTCTCAACTCCCCCTGAGTCTTAATGAGGAAGCGATGCCAGGGTGACGTCATTCCTACCTCTGACATATAAATTGGCAGGGGCAGAATAGCGAGTGCCCGCGCTGTTGGTGGCAACACACTCATATTTTCCTTGGTCAGATTCTTCGCTCTGTTCGATCTGAAGGGCGCCTGTATGGATATAAAATATAGTGCCATAGAGATGGTCAGAGAAGGCTTTCTCAGAGCAGAAAGCTAAACCTCTTAACAATATGAAAAGCCCTGCAAAGCGAAGGTCCGCTCAACGTCGATTCAATCTCTCGCTAAGGTGCACAGACAGAAAATGATGCGATGAGAAAAACATATAGAGATTATTTTTTTTTACATCATCAATGCTAGCATAAGAAAACAATTATCTCTTTTCCCAAGCAAGACTTCTAGTCATAATTAATATTCTCATTTCCTAGACTAATAAAATGAAGATGGGTGAGACTGCTTCAAGGAAGTATGGCTTTTAAATCAAACAAAAGATTAATTTTTGGTTTTGTTTTGTTTTGTTCCATTTTGTGGTACCAAAAGTGGCGCAAAAGATAGGTAAGCTCAAAAAAAACCAGGCCAGGTTTTCAAGAAAGTCTTCTGCTGAAGAAAGGCAAAAATACGCAGCAAGTACAAAAAGGCTGCACAAAGCAAAAAATTAAAATTAGTCATTATATATTATGAAAATATTACTTAAAGAAACAAAACTCCCTTAAGACATGCAGATTTTGAAGAAAAGAAAGACAGTTTGCCACGACTTACAATCATTTATTACACTTGCTGAAAAACAAAGAGCAGTTGAATTAGAAGGTTTTAAAAAAGTTAAAAAGCACGGCCTATGCCAGCTAGAAAGAGCCAACCAACCACTGCTTGAGGACCCCGAGGCGGATCCCCTAAGACACCCATCAAAATCCACCAGTGGGATTAGCAGTGTGGTGTCACAAAGCCCCAAGAAAAATACAAAACAAGAATTCTAAAAGAAATGAACACTGAGTCAAAGTATGAAAAACCAGCAATATCACATACCACCAAGAATACTGAGCACCTTTTGTTTCCATAGACTGAAGGACAGAAGATCCAAAAATCCAGAGGCGAGTAATCCAAGAAAAAAAGAAGTGGGGGGAAAAAACATTGCTGTCAGGTCATAGGCGAGTGGGATCAGGTGGAAAGGGGAGTCATTCTTTGACTTTTAAGACAGTAAGAGAAAAAAGAATCGAAGAACAAAAGCAAAAACCTTTTGAAAGATAAAGACAAAAAGCAGATGTTCCAGGCTGTCTTCTGCATGTCTGCCACTGTTCTCCAGACCATCTTGGCTTTGGTCCAGAACAAGAACAGCTAAGGAAGAAAAAAATGATCTTTTTTTTCTCCGGTTGGACAAAAAAAAAAAAAAAAAAGGAAAAAGAAGAAAAAAAAA